GTTTTGCCACTTTGCTCCAAGTTGAATTGTGTTCCCGAGGTTGGAAAAATAAACATGTCGCTGTACTCCTCCGCTCTTTGTGAATTCGGTGAATCGCAGGTAAACAGCTTTCCCCTACAAGGCACAGTCTTACTGCCACGCTGCTGTTGATGAGCATTCTACAAGCAACGAGCAATACTAATCTATGCTTTGATTTCAACCATTTTTGCGCTCGATTGATTTTGCTAGCTGACGATGAGTGTATGCTCAGTGATGTCACGGCTTGACCATTTGCGTCAACTTTATTTTTGCTCCGCAACACTGAAACAGCTTGGGCCTCGCTACACTGGTATTTGTTACGATAGACGTGCTAATTGTCGAAGCGTTTTACCTTTCACTTGGAATAGCGTACCGTTGGATCTGCTGCTGCTTTCGCATTAAAGGATACGCTTGAGCCACGAGAGTGTCAGCAAGAGCCACGCAATACCTGTTCACACTCGGAGCGGACGCGCCCGTTTGATCGAAGTGCTGGATTCGCGCTGTTGGACCGCGAATTCGTAAGCGCTTCGGGACCGATCCTTTACGACTGCAACTCGATATTGGCGTGACACTCGGCAGAGAAAGGTTAGACCGGCATTGCGTAGCCCCACGAACTGTTATAACTCGACAGTGACGTACAGTCGTGTCACAATAAAAAAAAATGACATACTATACTTCGTCTCATTTTAGCATGGACTATTGTTAGCCGCGCATGCTAAAAGTACGAGCTGTTTGCTTTGGATCACGGTGCTTTGGATGAAGCCTCGCCGGCTGCACGAGCGCTCGTGCAGCGAGTACTCCGGTCAAGGCGATCAAGGCTACCCGCTCGGGCTTGAACAGCCTTTAGTCCATGCTAAGGTGAGACGAAGTACAGGGTGTCACAAAAGAAAATTTACACGGTCTTTTTTACCGCAAAAATAAACTAGGCATCGCCGAACGCTCATTCTCCGCCCTAAAGGTAGCGCCAGAGGTCACAACCAGATGCCAAAGTTTCAGCCCGATCCGATAACTTAATCAAAAGTTATAAGTGATTTTCTGAAAATCTCAGTGGGAAAATGGCGGCCGACGGAGTTTTCAAACACATGTGGCTCTATGGCACCAGAAACCGAAAACGGGCAAAAATGGGCTCCATTTTCCCGTTGAAATTTTCAGAAAATCACTAATAACTTTTGATTAAGTTATCGGATCGGGCAGAAATTTTGGCATCTGGTTGTGACCTCTAGCTCTATCTTTGGGCGGAGAATGAGCGTTCGGCGATGCCTAGTTTATTTTTGCGGTGAAAAGGACCGTGTAAATTTTCTTTTGTGACACTCTGTATACTACATACCGTGTTGCGAAGGTAATACATGCGGCTTTTATCTGAGCTCCATATTACAAAAACAAGGAGATAGAATCGATGGGGGACCCTTTTCGACGACAGCGTTCGTCCACGCTGCCTCCGAAAGCAAGCAGATGACAAGGGGAAGAGATTGAGGTCAGCGACCAAGCTGTAATACGGGAAGGGTCCACAAAGGTCGCGCGGGCGCGTATTCCATTCATCAAACCAGCCGGTCGTGGGCAGTCGGTCTTGGCCAAGGACCGTCGGAGCAACGCTGCGCCGAGTCGGAGTGCCTGAGGCCTATATATTCTGCCAAGCTTGCTTGGACGGTGCAATCCTTGTCGTTGTAGTTTTTCCCAAGTGTTTGTGGACCCAGCGTTAATGTTCGTCGCGGTCGGTTTCAAGCACTTCCTTCTTTTTTCTTGCTGCGGCTGCTTGAAGTCGGGACGCGCGAGAAGAGCGCGTAGAAAAATAAATGTCCGTTGGTCGTCGCGATCAAATAAGCTGCGCGACGTTGTCGGTCATGTTGAATTGATCGTAGAAAGTGTGTAAGACGGCTACGGAACTGTTGTAGGATTCCGTCGTAACCTGCGCAAAACTTACCAGAATTTCGTTTCGCGAGTCTGGCCTCTTTTCTTGAGCGCATGGCACTGCAACAATAACACGCTGCGACCGCCGCTGCCCCCCGCCCCAACACTTGGACGCAACGAACTCTACGCAAAACGTAAAAAAAAAAGAAAAGATTGTTTTTACGGTTTTGGCAGTCACGTCACGGACGTCAAAATATTAGTCTTGTGCGAATAGTGGATTTTGAGTTCGAAGCGAATTCGAAGCGAATACTGGTTTTGGCCGAATATTTTCGATTCAAATGTCGAATAGTTTTTCATGCCTTTCACTACCATTGCGTAATGCTTAGACGAAAACCCAGCTAACTTCTGAAGGTTGTTCCACGTGTTCATTTATAAGCTAAGTTTATCTATTTTTTTTAAACTGTGTCTTCATAAGGTCTGATGTCTTGGGATGGCAAGTAAACAACGAATTTGACATAAAATGAATCCCATAGAGAGGGCCAACTATACCCAATTGAGTGAATTTACAAAGTTTGCTATATAAAATATGCCTTTTTTAATCTCGAATTAAAAAATAAATAATTGCACATATCGAACGCAGGTTGTAAGGGCAACTCTGCCTAATATAGTACTCTTGCATAACAATCAGTTTAATTTTGAAACTTTTACTACAATGTAGATATACATATGCACAAAGTTTCTATTTATTCCCAAATACAGCCGGCACGCGTGCACCATCCCGCTTTGAATGTATGCTTTTCTTCCAAGAACGCTATTGCGGTATTCATACTATTCCAAGTGTTTATCACGGCGGGTTACTCCGTTAAGTGCGCTTCTTACCGAGCACCGATGTAATGCGGAGAAGCAACACCCGCGGAGCTCGCTTCCGCGGGTATTGCTTCTCCGCTATGCACCGGTGCTCGGAAAGAAGAGCACTCAACGGGGCTAACTCATCGCAATCAACACTTCGAAAAACGCGAATAGTGCAGTTCTTCTCGAAGCGAATATCGAATAGTCTATCATTCGAAACTAATATTCGAAATTTCAAATATTCGCACAAGCCTACAAAATATAATAGGGAGTTTTCGTAGACCGCGTATCCCACTCCGCTGAGCTCTCCGCAACGAAGAAGCCGCTAATGCGCCTGCGCGCCGATGGCCTTGACTGTAGAGTCCCGAATAGCGTAGCGCGTTGCGGAGAGCTTTGCGGGACGGCGAAAGCGATCGACAAAAACGCCATATTTTATTTTGACGGTAGCCGTCAACTGCCCCGTATCGACCTCCGAAAAATGCGTCCCGCTAAAACTACCTTGGAGTGACAATAGTGCTCCTGATTTCTTTTTCGCTTTCACGCCGGCACTTTTTTTCTCGCGAACTATCGAAACTAAACAATCTGGAAACATGATTGTTTTATAAGTAAAAAGCTTGAGCGAAGGTGTTTTTTTTATTTTGGTATAAGCTTAAGATTTATCTGTATATATGCATCGCTTCCGCATCGTCACTGTTTACCAATTTAATTAACGTTCTCAGCACGAGTTCTTATGTTGTCTTCGCTTGACAACAAATTCGGCTCAAAAAACGAGGACACGGGAGGGACAGAAACACGGCGACGTGTTTGTCTCCCCTCTCTTGACCTCTTCTTTTGCGCTGAATTTGCTCTCGTGAATTACTGACTAGCCTAATTATTAACCCTTCGCTTCCAGCCATATCATTTTTATAATTTTATTTTGAAGTTAAGGTCTTGTGTTTCTTGATAAGTGTTTCTTGCTACGGTGTGTGTTTCTTGGTATGATAAATGTGTTTCTTGGCACGGTGTTTTTTGATATGATGTGCGGGGCGATTGTTGTCTTGCAATAGGTATGGCGAACTGTACATACTTCGCAATTTTTCGCGGAGTCGTGATTATACGCCAATCTCGTGTTTTCAACTTTTAGCATGTTAATAATCCGAAAACGAATAAAGAAAAACTTTCAGCCTTTCCGCTCTGGTGAAGAAGGAAGACCATCAAAGCTGTACTATGGTGGGTATGAAGTAATGGCCGGCCGCAAGTCGGCAAGCCAGGGGAAATGCTCGAAAGGTTGCCACCATCTATGAGTGACGGTGACAATCAGACAACCGGCATTCGGGTTGTCTGGTTGCTGCCGTCGCTCATAGATGGCGGTAGCTGTCCAGAGTTCTGTGTCATCAGGTCGTTTGAGGACGGACACGATCCTGGGGAAATTAGCCCTTAGTAGCTCCGCTGTAAAAATGAAACAAGTACCTAGACCTTGCTTTTGCTACCGTGATTGCTATGAAGATATAAAGTATTAATGAGAAGGTCTAGACCAGTTTATAGAGCTAGCCCAAGTAAAGAAATGCATTTCTTACAAAGACCGAATAGTAAACATTGTTCAAGTTGTTTTGCATTGAATATAACTAATCTTACCTTTTTTCTTTTTGCTATGGACCGAGTCTCTCTGCTGTAAATGGGGTATGGGATGTTGTTTCACTCTCACAAGTTACAGTGTTTCTGTGGTGTTGAAGTTTCATATTGCTTTCTGAGCGCAGAAAATAGGGTTAAAAACCTGCGTGGTCCCTTTTGTGGAGTTTTTGGAGCCATTGCTTCAATTGCATTGTGGTAAAAAACACCAATATTCCCTTTTTTATCAGATGCATTCCCGGCCAAGCAGAAGCTGACGTTAATTATATGCATTCTCGTGTATGTGCACTCAAGCCAAATAGTCTCCATTGTTTATGGTTCTGAGGTTCAGCTTGTATCACAACTATACCGCGGCAGTTATTGTAGGAAACCTACCTGGGGGGGGGGGGGGGGGGGGGGGGGGGGGGGAAGAGAGACTCCAAGGGTGTTGATGGGAGGTTGCCTTAATATTTTAGTAATACATTGGAAATAGGTCATTCATATTGCTGTCAATGACATTTTAATGCTGTATGAAAGACTGGAGTGCCACAAAGTTATCCTTTATCGCCGTGTTTTTCTGGGTGATCTTTTGTATGACAACCTGGTCAATCAAATGAACGGCATTATTTCAGTTTCAGAACATTTGTAAGCAAACAGCTTGTGACATACTGTTCCTGTGCAGGGCTCTTGCTAACTAACAGGTTTTTGTTCCTGTTACTATTTGGGTGCGTGCCATAAGGTGCGGTGCAGCAAAATGCAGAATATTTATTAGCAACGTTTTACATACTTGCCTGGCACTTGATATTGACTCTGTCATGACACAACCTAAAAAATACATGTGGAAGTGCTTGTCCTAAAGTTAAGCCGCACTGCGGCCTGTGACTTGTATGTATGTTATCACAAAAGTGAAAACCCTTTCGCAAAAAGGCTAAACATTGGTTTGGTTTCTGTTTTAGTATTTTTCAGATGAACCTATAACGCGGCGTTGGCGTCTAAAGCAATGGAACCGACATTCACCCAAGAGACAGCAGGATAGACTCAAAGTGCCTTCGGCTGGCAGCCCGCGCAGCTTTTGGAAACCAAAAGACCTGCACATCAGGAGCACGGCACGAACGCCTTGTCTCCTTTTTCTCCAGGATGGGGACAAAGGCAGCCCGGACCTGACATCCAGTAGAGCGGAGGAATGGCAGTTTGGTTGACAAACGTAACTCTGTGATTTAATACACCCTTACACCCTTGCACGCTTTTGTAGGGTGTAAAGGCCCGTTCACACAGTTGCGTTCGGAGCGACCACTACGCTTACGAACGAATGCAACCGGTTGGAACGACGAGTTACCATAGCAACGAAGCGCCAAACGGTCGTTTCGTTCGTGTTCGTTCGCAACGCAAGGAGTTGAGCCGGGCTGAACTTTTTCGTTACGTTCGGGAACGACGGGAGCGACGGACCAATCACAGGTCGAGGAGAGCTCGGTCGCGCGCGTTGCATGCCGGTCGTGCCAGGCTCCTTCTATTTGCAAACATGGCGTCGGTGGTGATCGTCGACATGGACGGCGCGGTGAACGTTCATCGTTCCCAGTAAAAGCGCTATCCTTGACTGTGAATTTTCGTCGTGTGTCGTTATGATAACCCAGCACGTACTAGAAGGGAAGATCCACCTACTCGTGCGGCGATCTCGTGGCGGCACTCTCAAGACAGCAGAAACGCCCGTGCCGTCGTGTTTGTTTACTTCGACTACAGTGGTGCTTTCTTAGCATTTGTGTCCTCGAACATCACCCGGATTTCTTTTTTGGCGCATTTCATGCGTGTGCCCAAGTTCAGGGTATTACTGGTGCGTACCGTATAAAGGATGCGAGTTTTCACGCGTTTTCATCACCCGAGAAAGGTGATTAATGTTAACAATTCTGAACGCTCGCAACGCCTATCTGATCACGAAATTATATTTCTGCGTTGCTATATCGCTGCTAAAATTGCATCGTCTTTTGTGATCGTAGAAAAGGCGAGTGGCGAGATTTGTACTGTTGACAAAGTCGTGCATAAAAGTCATGATCGTGCAAGACGGCGTACTGCATCTTTTTTTTTTTTTTTTTTTAATGCGCTACCCTGCGAGCGTATCCTGAAAAAATAAATAAATAAAGTTTAGGTCATAAAAGAGGGTCTGTCTATTTTCTGTTACGCAAGTGAGTGGCAGAGCGTCCCCTTCTTTTTAGAGGCACCGCTGAAACAGCTGACGGCGGCGGAGAGGCGGTCGCCGTGCTGCCGACCCGCTGCGCTTGGGACAGTGGTTGCAGGAGCGTACGCGCGGCGCAGAGCGGTCGTTCCCGTCGCTCTGGTCACAACAGACGCAGTCGTGGATAACGGGTTCGTTGCAGATGTCAGAACCAGCCTTTACACAGCTATTGTAGCGCACAGCAGATCTTCGTGACTGTGGTGTTGGAGTATGTAGGGATTGCTTGGATTGAGGACTGCAGCGTGGTAATTTACGTTCGTTTAATCCGCCATTTCTGATACACCAATGTTGCCAACCCGTACAGTCGATTTCCCTAAATCAAGGACACTACAGCTACCCTCCTTGTGAGAAGATGAAATTGAGAATCTAATACATCAAATAAAATGTTGCAAAGTAACAAAACAAAATTAAATAAATGACGTGCTGTCGATGTTCAGCTGAACACTTGCTGAGATGAGTTCTTTCATTTTGCAATAGTTCACTCTTCTTCACAAAGAATTTAAAAGGGATTATGTTGCAAAGTCAGCAAGATGCCGTGGTGGCTTGCGGTTTCTGACAGGGTAGCGTCGATGAAGGGGGCTCTGTCGTCTTGCAGGCACTGATGGCCCTGGTGCTGAAATGCAACTGTCCGTGCTGGACGGTGGCATAGTGTCATCTAGGTCGGTCTCTGCTCTGCGTGGCACTCGGTTGATCCTGGAGGCATCCTTGAAAAAACTAGCATTCCGTGTGATCATTCGGTTGCCTTGGGATGCTTTGATCTGAGATCCATGAATGCTGGTAATGGTATAAGGGGTCGGATCGTAATACGACGCAAATTTGTTGTGTTGGGCTTGTTTACACAGGACTCGCTGACCCACCCAGAAGCGATGTCGACGAGCGCCTCTCCGTGTGTCAGCTCGATGCTTGTTGTAAGCCTTTCTTGCAAGCTCTCTTGACCTCAGTCCTTCTGATTCAACTGTTCTTGGGGTTGGGGCTGCATAGAGGGGAAGGAGATTCCTCATTGGTCTTCCAAACAGCAATTCGTAAGGCGTTTTCGTTGTTGTGCCTTGTTTCGTAGATCTGTAAGACATCAAGAAGGTATCTAGCTCAGCCTTCCAGTCCTTGTTTTCGAGTTCACTGGTGTGCACCTGTTTCTTTAATGTCCTCATGAATCGTTCCACTTCACCGTTGGCCTGAGGCCACAGCGGTGTGACTCTGTGGTGTCGAAATCCCAGCTCTTGGGCAAACTCGGCAAACTCTGTGCCATGGAACGGTGGCCCGTTGTCCGTTTTCACTTGTTCTGGGATGCCAAACTGGCCAAACACTGCTCGGAGGTTGCTCAGCACATTGCGTGCGCTTGTCGAATTGAGGACCTGTACCACAGGGTATCGCGAAAAGTCATCTATCACCACCATTGCATATTTCCCATCGGGAAATGGACCGCAAAAGTCAAGGGATACTTTTTCCCAGGGACTGCTGGGAGGTTCGGTGATCGCAAGTGGCTCTTGAGTTGTTTGGGGTACTGCAGCTTGGCATGGAAGGCAACTCTTCACCAGCATGTGCACAAGGTTGTCCATGCCTGGAAACCATACCTTCTCTCGTAGTAATTGTTTCGTCTTTACGATTCCCTGGTGACCTCGGTGTGCGAGTTGCACTGCACGTTTCTGGAGACCAGTTGGAAGGACAAGGCGTGTCCCTCTAAGGATGAGACCTTCTGGTGAGAAAGTGAGTTCTGCCTTCATAGCTGCAAATGGCTTTAGTTCTGGTAGCAGCCAGTCGTTACGTAGAGGATGCTGGATGGCTCTCACCAGTAGCTGCAGCTGTTGGTCTGCCTTAGTCTGTTCCACAACTTCCTCGACCGAGAAGGCTTTTGGGATGCACTGGCGTTGGATGAAGTTGACATACTCATCAGGAACTTTGGCGATGCGAGTGCCTGTCTCCCGTTGTGGCACTGGGTGTCTTGAAAGGTAGTCCGAGGGGTTGCTGCTTCCAGCAGTGTGTCGTACGTCAAATGCATACTGTTGGATGCGGAGAGCAAGGCGCTCTATGCGGGCAGATGGTGACGACCTTGGGTTTCCCAGGATGCTCACCAGGGGCTTGTGGTCTGTCAATAAAAGAAAGTTTGCACCACACAGGTAGAGCCGAAAGTGTTCCATGCCCCATACTGCTGCCAACATTTCTCGCTCGATTTGGGAGTAGCGGCTTTCCACTGGTGTTAATGCTCTGCTTGCATAAGCTATCACTGCGACCTGTGCACCATCTCGTTGTGTTAAAATGGCACCAAGTCCGTGTGGGCTTGCATCTACAACCAGCTCTGTCGGCTTGGCTTGATCGAAGTAGGACAGGGTAGATGCGTCTGACATGACGCGCCGCAGTTCGTCGAAGGCTTTCTGGTGTCGTTCAGTCCACTCCCAGGTTGCATTCTTTAGCGTCAGTTCACGCAGTGGCTGAGTAAGGTCAGCAAGGTTTCGTAAAAACCGACCCGAGTAGTTGACCATTCCCAAAAGACTCTTCACCTCTTGAGGAGACTCTGGTACTCTTACTTGTAGGAAAGCCTCGATTTTCTTAGGGTCTGGACTAACACCCTTTGATGAAAAAATGAGCCCGAAGAAGGTCAGCTCTCGCTGGTGGAAGTGACACTTCTTTTCATTGAGCGTTAGTCCTGATTCCTGAAGTCGATGTAGGACTGCATCTAGAGCGGCGTCATGCTCTTCTTTCGTCTTTCCAAAGACCAGAATATCATCACTGACATTTAGGACGTTTGGGATGCCATTTAGCACTTGGCGAATTGTGTTCTGGAAGATTTCTGCTGCACTGCTGATGCCGAAGTTGAGACGTTTGTAGCGGAACAAACCAGTGTGCGTTGAAAATGTTGTTAGTCGTCTCGAAGACACATCCAGTTCCAGCTGATGATAGCCGTTTTTCAGGTCAAGGTTTGAGAAAATGGTTGCTCCGTTGAGAGCTACGATGATGTCATCAACTGTTGGACACAGATGTCGCTCTCGTTGAATGGCAGTGTTCACAAGGCGCATGTCGATGCACATACGAATCTCATCAGGGTGGTGTGGTTTCGGTACAATAACCACTGGAGACACCCATGGTGTGGGTCCAACTGCTGGCTCGATTATGTCCTCTGACAGGAGACGGTCGAGTTCTGTCTCCACAAGTGCTCGCACTGCAAATGGAATGCGTCGGTGTGGTTGAGCGATGGGAGGAACAGTTTCATCCGCGAAGAGGTGGATTTGCTGCTCTCTGAGTTTGCCAACTCCTTTGAACAAGTTAGGGAATGATTCCACGATCGACTTTCCTGTTGGGGAGTCTTCGACTTGGTATGTGATACGAATAAGACCAAGATTTGATGCTGCTGCAAAGCTTAGGAGTGGTGCGCAGCTTCCTGGGGTGACGAAGATGTCCTCTTGACTGCACCTTTCCTTGTACATCATGCTGACTGAGACTTTTCCCAGAAGTTGCAGAGGAGACGTTGCTTTGTATGGAAAAAACCTTTACGGATGTTTTCTCCAGTTTCTCATCTAGGTGACAGTTCCGGAGCTCATCCTCACCAACAACCGACACGGTTGCACCCGTGTCAATCACGAAGGTGATTGGAACATTGTCGACTCTGATGACAGCTTTGGGAGACGTGCTTGCTGGAGGCAATGTTTTTGCTACAAAAACGTGTTCTTCACCGCTTGAACTGCTGTCTTGGCGGGTTTGGCTGATAGTTTGTACTGTCTTGTTTGATGAACGGCACACCTTGGCAAAGTGTCCGATCTTGTTGCAGGCTTTGCATGTTTTTCCCCATGCAGGACAGTTTGATCGTCCGCCGTCATGTGGCCATTTGCCACCGCAGTTGTGACAATCTGTCGACAGGCTGTGATGTTGTTGTGTCTGGTAGTTTGGTCGCTGAGGCGGTTTCAAACTTCTTTTTGGCTTGCTGCCGCGATGCTGCTCATCCTTTCGTACTGCGAGGACTGGCTTTTCGGC